GCTGAAGCAAAGCCTTGAAAAATGATACATGAAAAAAGAGAAAAAATAAGTGACGGTGTCACTATTTGGTAGATGCGTTTCTTCTTCCTCTGTGTCTTCTTTCCTTGTTCTAAGTGTTAAATGAAAAAGCACATTGGACTTGATGCATAGGTTTTTAGCATGTTACATCCATAAAAATCATCTCAGTGTGAAAAGATCTCACAACAACTACACATTAAACTATAATTCAGCACAAAAAATACTGCTTTTGATTTCTTCCTTGCCTTCTGCTTTTTACTTCTGTTCCAGCTGCACTGTAAATTTAATGTTCATTACTGATAATTATCGATACATTAGCTCTAGCCTTTACAAGAAATCAATTCTGCCTCATTTTTCAAGGCCAAACAGTGTCCAAAGATGTATACTCTTATCTTTTGGTAGCACTCTCAGGAGTACATTATAGGTTGTTAGAAATGCAAGGAACACTTAAGATGACAAGAACTACACAAGGTGGTCTGCCTACACACTGTATAATGATATCAATCTGCCTGTAAACAAATCATATTGCAATGGTCTGCACCCCCCAAAAAATGGCAGCCTATGTTTCAAAAAACAAGCCCCAAAATGTCTTGCATCTGACAGGCTATGTACCAAAGATTCCTGACTACTTTCAGTTCACTACACACATCAAACAGAGCTCACTACATGCTCAGCAGACAGTCTAACGTGCTTGCTGGGTTGACCTATATTTAAAATAACATTATGTCTGGAACTCTATCCGCTGAATTCACTAGCCTTTTTTAGCCAATAGGATTGGGACATAGGGATTCTCTATGCATCCTGGGTCACTTGTGCTCAGATGTGACTGAGAATTGGACAAACCGGAGTGACCTCAATGCGGGACATGTCCCCAGGACATATACTGCAGTTACTAATGAACCAGAATGAGGCCGCCGTCTCATTATGCAATTCACTTGAGGAGAATAACCAGCATCGACATAAACTGAATATATGAAAAAAGCTTGTTATAAAAGTGTTCAAAGTGATATTTACAAAGTCTAAACATATACCACACTGCTACAGCACTGCGCAAAAATCCACCCTCGATTTCTTTAATTTTCAACTGAAACAGGCCATTAGATACAAGCTATCAGGAGATATGTTTTAGGAGATTAATCTACTTGCATAAGGAAAAGAAAATGCAAAGAAAAACAGAGTCGATATATTATAATATACAGAGAACATGGGGCTCCCAACAACTGTGCAAGATCTGGTAGACAAACAAAACTGTCCTCATCAGATAAGCAGTACTTAAATCTTTCACTTTTGAGAGACAGGAGTAAATTAAGCTCCACTCTTGCTTCAGATCTTTGAAAAAATGTGTTTCTGTCCATCCTCCGTGATATGGATCTGAAAGGATGTGTAGCTGTCAAGAAGCTGCTACAAAGAAAACTAAACAGACAAAAAGATAAAAATGTGCAAATCAAAAATTTGCTAGTGTTCTCAGAACGATGAACTGGCCACCCCTGAGTCCAGACCTCAACATCACTGAATGAAAGATTACTTGGATTGTGAGAAACAGAAAATGCAGCAACTTCTAAGACTGAACTTTGGAGGTGTGGACAAATATACTGCATTTCTTTGAAAAGCTGAAAGCAAGTCTCCTGAAAGAATGGAAGCTGTAATAAAGGCAAATGGTGGACACACTAAATACTTTTGTGTAATTTTCTGTTGAATATATGTTTTCTGCTTTTTTCCACATTGAAAAATAAATAATTGTAGACAATGACTGTTTTGACTAGACATTCAATAAATGAAGGGTGGTGTCTGACATTTGCACAACACTGCACTTCAGAACTTCAAGCTGAAACCCAAAAAATGAAGCAGTGGCCATTCACAGCTGTCCATATATTCTCTTTAAATTTGCTCATGCCAGTGTATGCTGGAGCACAGGAGGCAAAATGGAGTCTGATGGGGGGATAAACCAATTGTAAACCATAGGCTAGATGTAGGCTAGTGATTATGCGGTTGCTCCCAGAATAACATCGCTTTCGTGTGGATTAAAGCCACTGTGTCTGCATGCACGATTCCTCCTGAAGGAAAGATTTTGGAAGAAAGAGCCTCAGAAATACCAGAGAGCTCTGAGATATAAAAAAGGCTTATTCTTAAAGAACACATGTAATACATTTTCTGTCAGGTTTTATAGGTAAAGACAGATCCCTGCATATCGCATGCTTTATTCTGCAAGTCCAATAGAAGCCAAACAATTATCCTCTGAAAGAAACTGCTGTCTCAGTGTTTTGCTATTGACTTTACCAGCAGGAAAACAAAACCGGCCTTAGGCAGAAAATAAAGCCTGCACATTACAGTCTAATTAATTTTTTGTTCATTTTAAAAGTTCATTTTCATTAAACCCAAGTACGAGTGCGCATTTTAAACCAGCCCTGTTCCTTTTTGAGAAAGTGGCCTACTTCACTCCTCTTGTTCTGAATCTCCTTCAGCCACAGGATGGATGTTTCTGTACCGCTCAGTGATATCACGGCTCCTCTTCCTACGCAGCGATTACAGACATTTTCATGCCTGATCTGCCCTACTTCTGCGCCCAGCTTTCGCTGACTGTTTCAGCCCTGATCTTCACTGATAGCTCATGCAGGGCTGAAACACATGCTTAAAGAAAAAACAAGCAGTTCTGGCACAAACACTTGTCACAAGTTTCACCAAAAGCACAATCAGTGAAGACAAGATCATGAACTGTAGGAGAAGCCTAAGGCTCTGCATATGACCTTGATCCTGGCTCTCTGCAGTGGCCGATCCACTGATTTTTCTGGCGATAATGAGATCAATTAAGACTCCAGTCCACGTGCTGTAATCAATGGAAATGAGCCAAAGGCTGGAATCATCAGCAGGCCAGGCCTGAGCTGGCTTCCCTAGAGGCCACAGACTGCCAGCCCTCAATTCCCTTCACGCTAAGGTCGTCATGAAATCAAGAGTTTCGATTCTGGATACAGGTTTTGTTTTATCTCTTAGCTGACCTCAATATAACGTTAACATATCGCTGCTGTCGGAACAAAACCTTGTATCTCCATTTTTATCATTTTTCAGTTTTTGACATAATTTGAAAGTGCCTGTTGTCCTTTACATTGTGTGTAAATTTTACGATGAACATAACAAAAGAAACGGCCCAAAACGACGTGGAAAACTGTCTGGTTCCATTGACTTACATTAAAAGTAAGGTAAGTTTTTTCTTTCTCCTGTAGAGTTAATATTCTGGAGACACAAGGTTTTGATATGACAGCAGTGATATTTAATAGGGATGCAACAACACACTGTATTACAGCGTATTATATTGTATTGTGACTACCATGTTAACTTGTGACTACTGTGTTAGCTTGGGGCTAACATATTAGCTTGTGACTAGAGCATCAGACTGGTACACTTTAAAGCACAGCTTTAAAACTTTCAAAGCAGTTGAAAGTTAAGACTGTTGAATCATTTACCAAGTTGTAGTATTACAAAAACATTGAACTCTACTTCACACCGCAGTAAGACATACTGAGCAGAGTGAGGGAGACAGGTGAGGACAGACATGCAGGATGGTGACAGCTGCTCAGTTAGACCCAGGCCATGACAAGGTGAGAACACAATGTTTTGTGAAACACACAGCTCAACTCCTCCATACCCAGCAACAATTAGCAACCGATGAGTGCTCCTGCCAGAATAAACTCAAGAGGTTCCTACAGTAACCATCCCTCCTCTGGGTAAACAGCAGAGAGCAAGAACCCACCCCGCTCTTCAGCCAGCATCTGGCACACAGGAGCAACGTTCAGCAGGGACTCTTTCGATGTGCACAAAACACTGCAAATTTATACTTCAAGTCTGAGCTAATATTAGAAACAAAGCAAGGCTTTCAGATGATTTCTATTCCAATTCATAGAGTGTTACTGGCTCAAAGGCTCAATGTCTTTGTCTGGCATGTTTTAGGTCTGTTAAGTTGTTGATGAATTAAGCTTTAGTCTTGTGGTCTACTGGACAGAGAGTCTATAACCCAGAGCACTAGAGGCACGTGGGGAAGAACATCTGCCTTGTTGTTTGTCCAACAGCAAATGCAGAAGTGCTAAAGGAGAACTTAACAACTGCTTGACCTCTCCAAAGACTGGGCAGAAACATCAGCTTTATGAGGTGACCACACCTCAGTTCTGGCCTTTTAATGTAATGAGCAGCCTCACTGCGGAACAAAAAGGACTGCTTTGACAAACATGTGCATGACAAAATTGTTCTAAGAGTCTAAAAACATTTGCAGTACACTAAAGCAGTTAAGAACAGAGATTAGAAGCTAGGCAGCACACAGGTAAACTGGCATTATGAAAATTCTCTGCCTTCTTAATTCTCATTCTAAATTAACACCCCGTTTCAAATGAGCAAGAATGACTGCAAACATGCACAGATTCTAGACCTGGACTGGTCTGCGGTATTGATACATGGATGTCTGACATGATTAAGATTTTTAAAATATGCTGATAGAGCCAAAACTCAGTACTAGCAGGATTAAGGGCTGAATAAGAAGGCTCAATACTAAAGTAGGGAGATGAAAGGGAGAATATTTGGAAGCTTAACGTTTACCAAAAATACACTGGCTAACATAAAAGCATAAAAGTTATCAGAGCTCGCCTTTAGCTTCTTATGCTGTTCTTGTTTGCTCAGTTTAAAAGCGCAAGCAAAGAAAATACAACTCCCTCAATGCACCAAGCTGCCCCCAACAAGAACAGGAAACAGTCTACTTGTGTTGTGCATGGCCAATTTAGAGCTGACTCCCTAAGATGCTATCTCAGGCTTTGACCAACTGACTCAGAGCTTAAAGAGTTGGGTCATGCCTTTTTTAAATGGACTTCATCTGTAAAGGCCATTTAATGACAGAGTGGTGAACAGCAATGATCAATCGATAACAATTGTTGCAAATGTGACATAAGCAAGAACAAAGTGTTGAACAAATCAGTAGTTTGGCACTTTTTACTGCGGCTTACCTTCTACACTGTCAGAGCAGGATGTGCCAATGCCTGTGTCACCGCTGTCAGAGGCGGCGCTATGACGTCTCCCACGGTTACTGCTGGTGGTGGTGGAGGAAGAGCCTTGCCATGCTGACTCACAGCCTGGGACCCATCCAGGAGAGGACGTGCTCGAACCTAAGCAACAAACGGAAGTCGCGGTCACCACAGAGACTGTGCTCACGGCCACCAGAGCAAACACACAGCACAAAGACACTAAACAAGAACAGCATGACCACTCAAAGCAGAGTGAGGTCATGTGACATCATAATCACATTCTTATGTGCCGACTGAGACTTCATAGAATCATAGAAATGTTACAGCTATATACAACAGTCACTTCCAACAACTCTGAATCTGATTGGCTGAGAGGCGTTCTACCTGTGCTGCTATTTGTAATAACAGCACTGTTACTAAGTTTCTACTTTGGCACATACAAAAAACAAAAAACACCAGATAACATCTATAAGATAATATTAGACCTGCAGCCCGCTTGCTCAGATTCTGAAGAAGAATGTAACTGCAGAATGACACCAAACTCTGAACCTGACGTTGATAAGCAAGCTTTTCAGTCGGCAGCTGTGGCGGCGGAACAACTAAACAAGCTGGAACTAGCCAAAAATAAACTTTCAGCAAACAAGATTGGCTGTGAAATGTTTTAGAGAATGACTGTAACAAAACAATATTCAGGTTAATCTAGCAAATATTGAAAAATCTGAGCTGAACCTGATAGTGCCATCATGCAAAAGACTACCACTTTTTTGATGGAAGATATTTTTGTACTGAAGTAGGCCTACATTTAATACAATACTGGATGCTTATTTGTTTTCCCTTTTCTTTATTTTGCAGAAATGTTGCATAAAAGCAACATAACATGCAAGGACATGTGTTGTTATCATCACAGCTGTGATTTGGTCGCAGGCACAAGCCTCTCGTGTTCTATTGCTTAAATAACGTAGCTAGTATGGCTTGGAAAAACAGTTACTTTTATGTAATTATTGTTATTGCAACAAAAACTAAGCCTGAAACTGGCATCATATTGATAGCAGAAGATAATGGTTCAAAAAAAGTATTATAATTGGTCTACAGATTCTTGGACAGTTGAATGTAAGATCTGACTGACAGTTAAAAATGATAACTGATGTCATATTGATAGAAAATGTACTAAATATATAAAATGGAAAAAAGGATTTTTAATATCACAGCAACAATATATGCAACACAAGATCTGATGCCTGAACATAAAACAAGAAGAAATTGTTTTTGAATATTCAGGATATATCAGAGATGCACATGATCACAACATACATCTCAAACTGGGTTTTCTAGGATAGGCTAAATTAATAGGCTTACACAATCTCTTGTACTCCTGTATATCATTACGCTTTAAGTATGACTAACGAAAGGCATAATCACTCTACAGAAAGCACCATGAAGAAGCAATGGGGGGAAAAAAACACCTGCTACATGTCCACAGCCAAGCTTGCCCAAGAATCAACTCCACAGTTTCCTCACTCACCCTGACCTTAACTGCTCTTTTTGACTGGTGCTCAACAAGGACAAATTCAGGTGAGAAACACAGCTCCAAGTGGCTGGTCTTCCACTGGAGAGCATGTCCCCTTTATCTGCTAACCTAATCTATTTTAGGGTGTAATCCGGTTAGACATAGTCATTAAGGCTGTCCTCTTTGGGACCAGCTAGAAGGGAGAAAAGGTATCAGGACTTTTGTTATGGTCAGAGTTATATACAAATATTAGTACTTACATACATCTTTAGGGAAGGATAACTGCAATACCCATGGTTTGGTTAAAATTGGACTATTTTATGCAAATAGGACGCCATCTTTTCCATGTGCAAGTGTTTTTTTCCCCATCTTGAGTTTTAGAGAAAGAAAAATTACCCACAAACCTCCTGCCAAGTTTTCATTTTTTTCCTTCCCTAAAGTTGGCATCAGCAAAATCCTTAGACCACCATATCATCGCTAAAGCTTTTGCTGGGCCATAAATCAACAAAATGTACATGCTGTGCCATGAGCGCTTGCCTTGGGTAACAGTAAAGCAAGCCCAGAGCATGTTCATTCAGGACAAAAATACTTCAGATACTTCAGCACACCCCGTAGAAGAGCAAGACAGTCAGATGATGGCCTGAGACTGGGGTGATACACCTGCCCTTATTTTCTGGACTTCAGATCAATCACTGTCACAGGCCTGGAGCAGGGCTGGGCAATGCACTTTTCAGTTTTCGCAATACTTAAGCCCTATTATAGCAATACTGACAAGACACATTAAGCCCATAAAACAGGGTGGTGTCCCTGTTGTCAAGTGGTTTGTTTTTAGATGTTTAATTCTATTTTGTGCCCTTTATTACTTTGTACTTTCTGATTTTTTTGAAAGGACAGTTCAAAATACACAAACTTTATGAACAGCACGTTTTCTCTCCTGGTTTGCGTTCAGTATACAATACTGTGAAATTATGATGCTAGCCGTTATGTAAAAAGAGAAGAAATTGATTACAACAGTCCAATCAAAACAAGCTATGTCAGCTTTGTAAGAGATTACCAGCACTCAGGAAGTGTGCATTCATTAATCTTATGAATACAAATATCATCTGATACCATCCTATGTTTAAAAAACATTGTGATATCGACTTTTATCAATACCACCCAGCCCTAGCCTGGAGTAACATTCCCTGTAGTCTTGACAGATGTCAAAGAGTATAAAGATTATACTAAAACTAAGACTTATAGAAGGGTAGCATACCTACAGCAGACCACAGTACATTAAACTCAGTGGACCTGTACTTACCGAGATGTTCTCCAAACTGGTTCTTCTGGCCAAGTCCCCTTAACATTACTTTGCATTACTTTTAGTAGAGAAATAAATCTACAAGGAGTGACCAAATGGCCTCATCCTCATCTTCTTAGCCAAGCAGTTAACTGTGTGAACAGATGAATTAAAAGAGAGTTTTACTACTACCAAACATGCCGGTCTTTAGTTAAAACTAGCACGGATTTCTACCTGCGAGTTTACATAGATGGTTGACTTAGACGCATCCAAATTTATCTGAAAAAGTCCAGAGCTCTAAAAGAAAGGGCCCCAGATCTCACAGCCTTCCATTTGGTAGCATCAGATAGACTAATTACACATTAGTAGACAGTGTTAAATGGGACACTGGATTCCATAGCTGAGTAATTTATAATAAGGTTATAAGCAGTTTCATATGTTAAATCTTAATGCAATAAAATGAAACAGTTTAACATGATGAAGGTAACATAAATCACATATAAAAAGGGAGTTTCATGGCTAAAGACTAAGTACTGAAGATTAAAGTGAAACTCCAGCAATTTTCAAAAAAATCTACAAAATGAAATGGTTACGATGGAAACAAAGTCATTTAAAGTGGTTTCACGCAAAAAGCTCCATTCTAGAGAAACTTGCCATGTCAGAATTGTTCACATTGCTGGTGATGGGAACCAGACGTCTGAAGAACTGAATGCCTCTGAAATCTCCCTCACAGAAAATTATTACATGAAATAAATAAATGCTACCTGATATAACGAACTGTTTAGTGATTCAAGTCTTGGCTTAAAATGTATTTTAATCAATTTATTTTAATCCATTTATGGCAGAGGTATACATGCAGGGGATCATGAGGCAAATAGTCCCCAAAGAAAACTTATTTTTTTCAGTTTTATGATTATTTAGCCATCAGCAACATTACATACATCGCTGCAAAGAAAGCTCAAAAGACGCGCAGGTTCACTAACGTTAGTGGTTGTGGATAGTAAATAAAATGGCTATATTTGTGTTGTAGACATTGGGACTCCTGGTTCCTATCACCACCACTGTCAAGAAATCTGCGTCTGTAAGTTTCTCTTCAACGAACCATTTCACGTCAAACCACTCTGAAAGACTTTGTTTACATCTCAAGGACTAAATTACTTAGAACTTTTTTTTAAATTGTGGAATTCACCTTTAAGGTGTCCAGTCTTTAGGCTGCCCTAGATGAGGTCTCTGAAAAAAGGTTACAAAATACAAGGCGCAGTACAAGATATGTACAGAGACTAACTAGTCACAAGTAAAAATGGATTAAATCTCTTAACGTCGCAGCAGAAGAAAGGAAGAGAAGACGAGTACAAGCTGTAGCTGTGTACATCTCATTTTACCTCATTTTAGCGCGCTAACGTGAGGCAGCTAACACCAGCACGACCAGTTGTCCCAGCTCCAGGGAAACCGTGGCTGATGCTAGCAGGCTAAAACCGTTAACGAAAACATTAGTTAAATCATTACCAGTTTGTCGTGATAATGACTTACTCTTTGACGTTATTTAAGGTAGAAAACCACCAAAAACAACCCTCTGAGTACATATCGTGTTGCCTAAGAGCGAGCTCGTTAAGTTAAAGGCTCTTAGCTCGTGTGCTAACTTGGCTAGCTAACAATAAAGATGCCGTTAGTCACACGGCCAGATTTTACGGTAAAGCGAATTAATCCCCAAACGCACTGGAGGTTACAGCCAGTCCATCTCTCATTACAGACGAGTGTTGGTCATCTTTAACATGAGACTGAAGTTGGCTTAAAATTCGCCAGCTTGTTGTTCGAATTTTCCCGTTCCATTTAAGGTGGACCGGAAAATTCGAACAAGCTGGCGAATAAGAAGCTGACTTCGGCTTCGTCATCTGGCTATCTTACCTGACTTATACGCATCAAGGCCATCCTCAAAATCGTTTCTGCCCCACATTTCTCTCGATTTCATGGGCTCTCTTGTCTAAATAAGCACCGCCGAGGAGAGAGAGACAGGGTGGTTTCCAGAAGAAAGCAAGGAGTCCCCAAAAATGAGCCCAACAAGATGGTTGGGAGAGATGTTCTAGCTAAGTAAGACTAAAATCCATCTTTACGGCAGGCCGGTGCAGGTATAAACACAACAAAAGCGGAAGGTTTTCCTATTCCACAGCGATTCCGAGCCGTGAATCAGTCATCTGTCGGAAATGTACTGAACTAGCTACAGTCGACTCTCCAGTGACCGCATTGCAAGTACGTGATCTCACACTCACTCAGTCTGAGTGCTGGAGAAGGAGAAGGCGCAATCTGAGCCCAGCTCCTCCTACTCCACTCGCTGGCTGCAGACCAACGACTCGAGGGGAAACTGAGGTCCTGGGTTGCTATACCTGCTCTTAAAGATCAGAGGTATGTGGAGTCCCGTCCCCACCCCCGGTGGATCTTTGTGCTGGGGGTCTGGCCCGAACACAGAACTACAAAGCTACAACATAGATGTTACATAGATCATCCGCTTTATTAGAGACGTGTCCGTACAGTGCTTCCACTCACTGGCCACTGTTTCAAAGAACATGGAGAGAAAACTGAAACCAACAGTATATTTCAGTGATGGGCGGTAATAAAGTACATGTACTTTGTTACTTCACTTAAGTATGGAGGCCCATTTTTGCCGCTTAACGAAAAAAATAAGAATTAGGTGCTGGATTTTGTGAATTGCTGTGCCGTACAGAGCCCTGCTGGTGACATACCTAAAAATGAAAATAAAGTGTGGCCACGACTTAAAACGGTGTGGGAACGATAATTAAGTCGTGGCCATGACTTAGTAAGATGCGGGGACGACATCCTAATGCGTGGCCACAACTTAGTAAGACGTGGGAATGAGATGATTAAGCCTGAATAAGGCATGATGTCGTTCCCACGCCTTACTAAGTCATGGCCACAACTTAACTATATCATTCCCACACCTTACTAAGTTGTGGCCACAACTTAACTATATCATTCCCACACCTTTAATATGGTGTGGCCACCCAATCTTTTTATCTATGTGGGATGTCACCAGCAGGGCTCCCTAATGTCATTATTTTGCAATATTAAGTCATTATTTTGTGATAGTATTATTCTCATTATTCTGAGAAATTTTCTAGTTATTATGAGTCATCTTGTTAATCTGAGATGCCTTATGCTTTTGAGATGAAAACATAAATAAATATAAATATATATTTAAATATAAATAACAAGAACGTTTCTGAAAATAAAAAGAAATCTCAAAATAACAAGAAAGTTTATCGAAATAATAACTTAGTATCTCAAATGAATGAGATAATATCTTAAAACAATCACAGTATCTTAAATAATGAGATAGTATTTCAATATAATGAGCTAGTATCGCAAAATAATGGCATAGAAATTCACTCAAGAATGAAAACAATATTAGGTGCTGGATTTTTTTTTAAATGGCAGGAGTGGGCTTCCACACTTAAGTGCTCTTTTCAAATATCGGTGAATATTTCCATTTTTTTGAGACATTTTAGAGGCCCAGCCCAGGCGCCTCTGGCAAGTTTTCAGAATGAAACAGAACTCATCAATACTAAACATTGTGTGGGGTGTTTTTTTAAATGGATCCCAAGCAATGTTATAAAGGCTTTACATACTTTGGTGCAACTTTAGTTGCTTGGAACCTGCATGAAGCTAAACTGCACTTGAGTTGCATAAGTCACAACAGTTGCAAGCATCTCAACTTCGTGAAACAAGTTTCATGAAACAGCTATTCATAAAACAGAAATTGTTTATGGATTTCTACTTGTACTTGAGTAATCTTTTCCAAAATGTATCTTTCCTTTCACCACTAGTACACATAGACCTCTGAAGTTGTTTGTCATTCTGTAGCTGGCCTCATGCCCGTATTAGCAAGTCTGCATCTAAGCTGGATTTCTCAATGCCAAAAATGAATGTAATTTTTGAAAAAAATTGCCTCTATCACACTCTGTGGTGCATAAAAAAGTTCCAAACCCGAGACGTTTTGTCCTACATGCATTTTTAACTATGTTAATTTGTGTCATACAGAAATCCATCTTAGACTCGGAGATCCTAATATGACGCCAGCTACAGAATGACAACACAACTTCAGTGGTCTATAATAGCCTAAAGCAGGGGCGTCCAGTCTTATACACAAAGGGCCGGTGTGGCTGCAGGTCTTCGTTGCAACAAGGCAGGAGCTCACATGATTGGTTGTTGAACACTGAGACTGAATGATTCATTGAGTGGAATCAGCTGTGCTCTTCTTGTCTGGAACGAAAACCTGCACCCACACCGGCCCTTTGTGGATAAGATTGGACACCCCTGGTCTAAGGAAAAGGCTGCACCTAAACAGCCACATCTGTGCTTGAAATGGTTCACAATCTGAACAGTTTCAAGTGAGAATTTGCATCATTTATGAAGAAGTACCCACTATTGTGTTGCAGTTTGGAGCAGAGCTTGTAAATCAACAATGTGTTCTTAAGGATTTCTTTGCCAAAGAAAACCCCATTAACGTATATTCATGAGCTTCTCCAGTAGTCTGTGATTTGCACTTGTACTCATTATTTCGGGCTGTATATTCTTGAAAATTTCTAAATAGTGGTCCTGTCATAAAAAAAGTTATTTATAGACAGTTTCAGCTGAGTCTGGCTCAGGAATAGACTTATTATTTTATACCATATTCTGTTTAGATTTCAATCATGCTTTTCTTTGTTTGTTTTTTCTTGTCTGAAGTGTTTCTACCCCAATGCATTTGATTTAATTGCTTGCTGTATGATAAACTGTAGGCCAGATAGTTTGGACATCTGACTATTGAAACTCTTTTTGTTAGAAATCTCTATTTGCTTTAGAAATCCAGAAAAATAAAAACATATTTTAAGAGGTTTTGTTGAAAGACATGTTGGAATTACAATTAATGAGAAATCTGTACATATTTTGGCCTCATCCAATGCACGAATCAAAGCTAAATATACTGAAACAAATACAGCTGATTCAGTAGACTTCAAATGGAGTAAGACAGAATTATGCCTTTGTAGAACACTTAGGCCTATTAAAAGGAAATTCCACCAATTGTTCAACAGTAAATCATTAAGATGTAAACAAAGTCTTTCAGAGTGGTTCAGATGAAAAAGTCAGAATTGTTCACAGTGGTGGTGATAAGAATAAGACATGTCTGACATGTTTAATGCCTCTAAATCTCCTTCACGGTAAATTATTACACAACATGGTTTTGAACACACGGCCTGAGACATGTTTTATGATAGTTTTGAGATAAGCTTTTGGCATAAAGCATATATTTTTAAATACCTGCAGGGCAGAGAGATACATGAAGGGTGTTGTAAGGCAAAACAGTACATAAGAAAAACATGTTTTGGATTTATCACTATATTATGATTATCAACATACTCAAGAGACATGTACAGCTTCACTGGTCATTTTGGATCCTAAATAAAATGCCTATGTTTGTGTAGATGTCATGGCCCTGGCTCCTATCACCACCACTGTAAAGAGTCTACAATGCACCATTTCACATCAGACCACTCTGAATAACTGTGTTTACATTTCAATGATTAAACTATGCAGAAATTTCAAAAACTTCAGTGGAATTCCCCTTTAAGGTTCACCTATGGGAATAATCAAAAAATTGTTGATGATTTACATCCAGCTATGCTGCTGTTACCAAAAGAATACCTGCATTCTCTTGTTTAAACCAGGGAAACAAAAGGTCTTCCCAGTCATGTACTGTTGGCACATTCTTTCTAAAAGAATTCCAGCAGAACTATTTAAGGGTGCTGGAAACTATTGGCACCTGTTCAGTGACACAGGCTGATTGGCTGTTAAAAGTATGTCAGGTTACATAACTGGCACCCTGAAAACTTAAGTTTGAATAGAATACAAGATCAGTATGAATATCTTTACATAATGTTATAGTCAAATTACAAAAACAGTATCCAATCAGATGCAGGCCTACTTAGCAATAGATGGACTATGGGGGATTCAAAAGTAAGCGTAACCTTTGAAATGTCTACAGGGGGATTAAGATGGCCTGCGGAAGACCTCCATATACTCTTAAAGTACCCAGTGAAAGCTTAATTTCATGAATAACAAATTGTTACATTTTTATATATCATTGTCATACCCAGGACAAAATAACAAAGGAGTATCCCTAAACCTTACCACTCATTAAGAATAAAAAGATTAATGAATATGCACGATTATGCATAATATGCATATTCTGCCAACGCCCCCTTGCCTCTCATTTCCAAACCCCTTCCCTTCCCTTCACCAAGAGATTGCGCAGATGAGATTGAGAACAACAGAAACAAATAAGTTCACACTGTTACATTAATAATCAGAAAATGGAAATCTTCAAATCATCACCCATTAAATGTTAAACCATTAGTTGATCAACTAGTGCTAAATGTTGAACAGCACTAAGGAAAGCAAAGTAGAACTGATTATGCTAGCACTAGCTTAGCAGGCCAATAACCAGGCACCTTCTCTCTCCGATGTGAGTCTTTATCCTCTAAACTTGCGGATATCAAACCTGTGTTGAGTCTATGAAACTGTATTAGGACTGCTCACTAAGCTAATGCTAGCCTCTGATGCTACCAGAGACAGCCTAAGGGAATAAGAAGATTAGCATAGCTAATAGCTCAACATACAAAAAACGATTCACTGCTTCAGATTTGAGTCTTTAGCCTCAAAAGTGAGCTGGAATTGAACCTGTGTTGTGAGGTTATTTTTTGTCTGGCTCGCTAAGCTAGCGTTAGTTTCTGGTGTGAACATGGACAGCGCTGCGTGAAACAGTGACACGCTAAGCTACTGTTACCAGTTCTACACAGCATGTTTGACAGTTTATTAAATAGACGTGGAATATAAATGATAAATAAACATGATCATAATTTTTAATACCCCATAATTTGTTAGCTAGCTGTGAATTACACAATCCAAATATGTCAAACATTAACCTAGCTACATTAGTGCTTCCGCTCTGTACCTGTACATTTCTGCTTTTCTGTAGTATGTTGTTCAATCTCATTAGTATATTTTAGTATATTTAACTGTGATAGGTTTACGTTCATTCATACAAAGCTAAGCTGCTATGAGGCGCCCACGAATCACTTTTTACTGAAGCATGTGTTTTCAATCAAAAATGTGAGCTTTACATTATGGTAACACATTTGACACAATATATAATCATAAAAATAACCATAATATGCCCATGAACAGGTAACCAATTAAAAAAGCATGTTTTTGAGGGCAAGGAGAACATAATTTAATAATTCGTAAGTATAAAAAGTGAAGCACTTCCTAAAAGTTGCCAAGTATCCTGTTCTGTATGGGCACAGTGAATGTGTACGGTGTCAACCTTGTACATAGATCATGAGTCCACACGGATATGAGGCAATCTCCTGCTATGAAGCAATAAAGCTGCTCTATACTAAAATGAAGGGACAGACAGCCCGAGAGGATAAAGTCAGATTGCCTAGT